TGCTGTGAAGGCTGCTCATATGGACCGGTCACATGGGTCACATGACAAGATGGTGATTGGTTTCTCTCATTTCACCTCTACTCAACAACTTAGTAGCAATTGTAAAACCTGCATTTGCTAAAATATGTTCGAGAAATTACAAAATGTCACCATAAGCAAATTAGGAGTATATTAAAAAAGTTAAGACGAGTTCAGACGACCAAAAAATATCCAAAGTCAGCAAAAAAAAAAAAGCACTTGCCGGCCAATAAGAGTAAAGTGTTCAAAGATATTAGTCTAGACTACCTTCACATGTAGCTAAAAAGCTGAAGGATAGTCAAAAATATCTAAAAGTTTGCCCAAATGGTAACAAAAGTCCCACCGTTAGCCTTAGGTCAGCACAGTTACTGTAGCCACAGTTACTGTAGCCACCGTTACTGTAGCCACCGTTAGCCCCAGGACTGGACCTCAGACTGGTCTCTATTAGAGCTGTACTATAGCATTAGCTGTTATTACATGTATATTCCGTCTTCATTAGTTGCTGACCTCAGTCTGGGGTCAAGTACGTTTCCATGCAGCGGTAAAGAGAAGCCGAGGACAATTGAGTTTGCAATTGGTGCTAAATGACTGTTGTGCTGCTGTAAATAGGTTTTCCAGGTGGTCATTTGTCGTCCTTGAAGTTGTAATTTACTGTACCGCCCTCTGTGAGCCACAACCTAGAGCTGCTGTCCTGTCCTCACACATATTCACTAGTGAAATTAGCCACGGAGTCGGACTGATTCCGGCCGAAAGGCTTTTCATTCCTCTGTTACATCATGATCCGTCTTTGAACAACATCCAGGCTGCCTGTGAGAGGAGGCTCACTCCTGAGGAGAGAGGAGCTGAATCACAATAACAACCCCCACCTACATTTGGATCACTTAAAGACAGCATGGTCACGAACGCTTTGGCAGCAGCGCCCTCGTGTGGTGTAAATGAAGCAGTGCAGGGAGGAGAGAGTGGATGGATCCCTGGACAGTTAACTGAACACAAACACCAAACACTAGAAGTTAGTGGATGAAGAGAAGTTCATCAGAATAACATCAGTAGATTACTAATAATCTGAGGTCTGCTCTGACTCCTCCCCCTCCTACACACTTCCTGCTGCACACAGGATTTGACACTGAGTTACTTCCTGACTTCATCAACATCATGACCATCATCATGATCATCATCATCATCGTCCTGACCCTCACAGCTGACCTTTACTGTCTCTGCTGATCCCAGACCTAGAGCAGAACATGTGACCCAGACAAACAGGAACCATAATCCAGACTGGGATGATCCAGGATCAGTGGATCAAAGAGATATTAAAAAAATAAACAGAAAATGTATTTTATTATTTTTTGTGTGTTTGTTTTATGGTATAATTTGAAGTAAAGTTCAAGGCTCAAAACCATACTCTTTATTTTGTTATTTATTTTGTCTTAATATAACCACATTCATTTTTTCTTTTTTTATTTCAAAGCCTAACTGACGGGCCCACAGTGACAGCAGCAGTCAGCGCCGCCAGTTCACAGCTGGTGAACCCATCAGCCCAGCCCTTGATGACGGAGCGTCACAAACTGCTCCACTACTTAAATTAAATCAGCAGTAAACACTAAAGAGGCCGTAAGAGGAACAGGCTGCCTCACCTCCAAACAGGTGCCTGATCTTTAGCTTCTTCCGTCGGCAGCTGCTTTTTCAGGAGGAGCCGAACACATTTATGTCACGACCACTTTAGTTGTTGACGATGGAGACAGACAGACGTTAAGTTTCAATGCGGTGTTAAGACAGCAAACAACACTGACTTCCCTGTTTCTGTTGGTTCGGAAAATGTCTACCAACAATTATCATTGCAAAAAAAAAAAAAAAAAAACCCCAATGAACAAATAAATGTACATCCTTAACTAGAGATGTACGATAATATAATATCTGTAAGGATCGATATCGGTTTTTCCTCCGATAATGAAAACCTGATAACACAATGACTGGGTTTCGCCAAATGATGTGTGACCTGAAAATAGCTTTGGGGATAAACGGCTGTTCATTAAATTAATTAATATAAATTAATTTTATTATTCTATTTTCTATCAGAATCAGTATCGGTTGATATCAGAATCTGAAAAAGGTCTCTCCGTGTGACTGCATGTGTTTGAATCGTTTGTTCAGAACATTCCCTGGAATTTTAAACTTCCTGTTGAAGTGGCCTGTTCCCACGTCACATGAAAGCCGTTACTGGACAGTAATCAGAGTCACGAGAAACAGGTTTTCTATGAAAGTCACATGACGCAGTGAGAGAATTAATTAGCTGCTGATTAGTGTCGCAGTTCATCCTCCAGTTCAACTAATAAACCATCAGATGCCACTGCAGCGTTTCGACTGAACATTAACCTAATTTAACTGAAAACTAAAACGGAAAATGAAATATGAGAAACATAGCAAAATAAATAAGATAGGTGAGCGAAGCAGGCGAAGAAAAAACTAAGAAATGTGACGTCACTGAATCAACTACGTCTGTTCCACTTCCAACGTCACGACCAACAGTATGAACAAACCACTGCCCCTGGACTGTGACTTTTACAAGAAGGACTGACAATCATTGTACAGTAATTTAACCTTTATATTTTTATATTTTTTGAACACTAGATGGCAGCATCGTATCACGTTTGTTCTGTAGACAACTCTTGAAATCCGCATTAACGGCCGTTAAATAAAAGAGGACACAGCAGCGTGTAAATGGATGTTCACCATCACCTGCTGTGCTCGACAGCGTGTGTTTGGAACCAACTCTCCACCATTATTTCACCGACTATGTCTGTTCTGTAATCACCGACCCATTCGCTGCTCCCTGTCATCTCGTCACTGACGCCTCTGGGAACATGGAAATGTGTCTGATAGTTAAAGTCACTGAGCCAAAAAAAAAAAAAGAAAGAAAGAAATTTTTACTGTGAGTGAAATAAAGAGAATTACTGTGATTACAGGAAGCTTCACGCTGGTCCGATGACGCCAGCAGCCACCAGGTGTCACTGTAGCTCCTTGTCAGTGGAGGACAGCTAATCCTGCAGTTTTCAACCATCACCATCTTCACCAACCACAGCCCCCACTATCATCAAGTCCATGTTTGAACCATAACTACATAGTCCAATCACCTATATCTACAGTACAACAAAATATCTACAAAGTACTTGGAACATATGACTAATAAAGTGGTCGACCAGCGGCTGTCAATCAGCTAAATCAGGACTTCATAAAGGTCCAGGTCTTCTGATCATTTAGGTTCAGAGGTCAGCGACATAATGACATTAACGCTAACTTACTGAAGTACGCTAACCACACCAGATACAGGCTAGGTGCATGGTCCGAACCGTCCTGGCGTGCGGTCCAGATGCAGACCTCGGTCCAGATTTTGAGGAGCCCTGAGCTGAATCAATGACGTAATATTCATACTGAGTATCGTCTCATGGAACATCCCACTGTCTCGGTGATCTTGGCTGTCGTTGTCGGCAGCTGCTGGAGTATTTTAAGGTTCAGTTTGGTGAAATGCTGCAGTGACTCTCAGGAGAAGAGACGAAAACAACAGAATCTCTGGGTTCTCTGCCCTGCACAGAAGAGACGAAAACAACAGAATCTCTGGATCTCTGGGTTTTCTGCCATGTTTGTGTGTGTGAGACAGATTTGGTCATTTGAGAAAAACAACAGATTTTTCACATATGACCAAAACCTCTTCACCTTCTAAAGTCTGTCCACAACTTCCTAACACCAGCCTCAAAACCCCCCAAACGTGTGTTTCCATTTAAAACCCCAGGTCCTTCCACAGACAAATCAGTCTTTTCACACCACAGCCGACCCCAGCTGCTGATTCACTGCTGCCCACGTCCATAAGTTTCACTCTGTTATTCGGTGACTTAAGTATTTTAAAAGGCTCAGTTAGGATTTACCTAATTGACTGTAACTCACTAAATGAGTCAGCAGAAGTCCAGCAGCTTCTGTTTCCCCTAAAGGTGGAAACATCAATTTTCTCCTTCGACTCTTGGTGCGGGAGAAAGAAAAGATTTACAAACTGGAGTTTCCTGTCGACGGACAAAGAGACTTAAATATATAACAGAACGACGCAGGTGTAAATACAGGTCATGTGTGTGTGTGTGTGTGTGGGCTGGGTGGCATGTGGACTGCAAGACTGAGCATGTGTGTGTGTCAGGACTGGCTGCAGGTGAACACTCACCATGTGTTAAAGGCAGGTGAGTGAGGCAGGATTGTACAGAAAGAGAGCGTTACTGACACCACGTGGTCGACACGTGACTAGACCCATAATGATTAAGAATATTATTTCAGATTTTATATTTAAAATCTAATTTTAAAAGCTCAACAATTAGGCTGACAAGTTCTTAAAAACAGAGAAAAAAAAGAGAAATGAAATCAGGACCATGGACAGCTCAGCCTCACTGATGACCATAATGTAGCCATGGACAGCTCAGCCTCACTGATGACTATAATGTAGGATGATAAAAAAAAAAGTATTTTCAAACGGGTATTTTATTTCAACCACTGAATGACGAACCACTGATACACACGTTGTTATTTACACCCACTTTTTTTCACGAGTTTTTGTTTCACCAAAGACCGTTGTTATTTACACCCACTTTTTTTCACAAGTTTTTGTTTCACCAAAGACAATCTGAATCTGACACAACTGTCAGGTGAACTGTAGCCTGTGGAGAACGATCTCTCCAAAACTTTTAAATTAACCCTCGATAATTTCTCCAAGAAACTGGACAATAAATGACCAACATCCAACGTCTCTATGAACTGAATTTTAAATTAAACCTTTTCATTCTTTTCAGGGAACATGCGTGAATCAATGGTCCGTGCTGCCAGACATTCCTCCACTCAGTCATAAGTCTCGTTACTGCCACTGAGTTATTGCTAGTTCCAGACTTTGGTTCATTTCATTTTTTTTTCTTCTTACACTTCCTATTTCATTTCTGGCGTGTGATTCATACCTTCATTTCCCACAAAGGACTGCAGGGTCACGTGGCAGTTGTTGCACCGCAGGCTAAATGTGCAGCGTGGCATCTGGTACGCTGCTCCGTCTCACCTCCAGGTCAGCCACTGTCAGAGTCTGGAAGTAAATGGAGAGATTTCACGGTCATGATGAGTGACTTTAAAAAGCTCCGTGCAGGCGGTGGACCAGACATCTGCTCACTACATACTCACTGTACTCGTCCCGCTGAATGGCTGATGGCAGAACCTGCGCTGACTGTCATAAGGAAGGTTAAATGACTACAGCTCCTTCCATCTGTGCCAGTGCCTGACATTTAGACTTAATGAGCGGAGAAGAAAAGCAGCACCAGTGCAGGAGCCATCAGCAGCTGAACGCCGTTTAAAAAAAAGCTCCTAAACCAGCGTGCCAGGTCAAGTGTTTGTGCACAGACTCCGTACTGCAGCCGGCGCGGCAGAGTTTAGATTCTCTGCATGTCAAGAGAGGATTCAAATTGAATCCAGGTGGTGGAGAGTGTCACAAATCTGCAGCCTTTGTGGTGAAGAGGAGCCTGAGTGACTGTTCTGATGCTGGAGATGGAAAGTGTAGCAGCCGGCAGTGAACGGTTGGGAAAAATGGTTGGTTTGTGTTGAGGCTTGAGTGGTGTGTGTATGTGTGTATGTGTGTGAATGTGGTTCAGGTATAGCTATATCTGTGGGGACATTGTGTGAATATTTACAATTTGAATATAGATGTCTAAATCAATAACACATAAAACCAACTTGACTAATTGACGGAGGTTGGAGACCTGCGGCACTTAAAACGCCCTCTGCTGGATGTAACTGGTAATACATATTGGCTGTGTGAAATTTGAGGTGAGAACATTTTTAATGAGACAAAGAAAGTCACAACCGTGAAAAGGAAGAAAAGAAAATAATTGCTTTGACATTTAAAATCCAAGTTCCCACAAATTTACTTTAAAATATGACCTGGTAAATTACATTTCTTAAAACGCTAAGAGCATATTTTTACTTTGTAAAAATCCGACGGTCATGAAATAGAATTTTTAGACCCCCCCCTTCCTATAACAAAAATAAACTCACAGACTCATAAAACAAAAGTGCAGCAGTGCCATTTTAACTTTGAAACAATGTGTTTTCACCACCCTCCCTGTGAGACCCTGGCAATCCCAACGTATTATCCAATCCACATTAGGAGGGAACTCCACAGGACGCCATCTGCTGTCACAGTGTGAACAACTTTATTAAAACACCATTCAGTCGCTGGAAGATCTCCAGTCTGAAACACAGAGAGAGAGAGCGTTCCCCGGACAAGAATAGCGACAGGACGTTGTCGTGTCGTCGGCAGGGTTCGCTGTAGGAAACCTGTGTGTTACCCAAACTACTAGCTGAGCCCGAACAAACAGACAATTAGGTGAACATTCGAGTCGTCTTCTTCCCACTGAGGATAAACGTGCACTCAGATAAATCCTGCTTATCACGACTTCAAGCTCTGAAAACTGCACGACGCAGAACGAAGCCAAACCAAACTGTTTTCAAAGCCAAACACAGACACACACATCTGTGGATTCATTCAACCACCACACTCGTCTTCCTCTCTGCTATCTGCTCGGCCTTAATGATAACAGTCAGCGTGACAAGCGCAGATGTAACAAAGGCCACGCAGACCTCAGCCTGTTAAACAGCAGGACTGGAGACCCCCCCACCACCACCACACCCCCTCAACCCTCCTGCTGACACAGAATGTACGACAAAGAGGGCAGAAACCAGAGTAATGATAAACCACCCCCTGAAATACACCAACGCACAGGGAGGAAGGAGTTTAACTGTAGGAAAAGTAACTACAACAAAGTCATTAAAGGAGATCAGAGACACCAGAGCGTTGACTGTAGGGGCTGAAAAGACAACGACGAGAAAGTCACAGAGAAACACAGCAACGTTTTAGACCTTTACATCAGAAAGAGAATCAAAGGTCTGGCCCAGGGGCAAATAGTGGCCCTCAAATAGGGTTTATGTGCCCCCCCCCCCCATCACCCTCCAACTGTTACATAACTGACTTGACTGTTTATGTAGGGACGGCGCTAAATGATCACCAGTTACATTATGTCAACACTTGAGGCACTAGACCTAGGTCGGCATCTGTAAGAACACGGGAAGACGTTCAACTTCAGTAGTGAAGTAACTAAATCTCACTAGTAAAAAATCCAGGTTCATTCTTGGATCTTAACCTACCTCTGGAGCTTCTTCTTCTTCTTCTTCTTTTTTCTTCTTCTTCTTCTTCTCCCACTGTGGCTGAAACATATGTTGCAGTTTGTTTTCCTGCAGCCATTTCTGTCTCACTGCTTGCTGTCGCTATGGTTACACCAAGCCGTCTTCACGTCCTTCCTTAGAGAACAGTTGGACACACACAGTGACTCGTCATCATTCTAAGGCAGAGAAACCAGCGGTCAGAACAGGACTGGTCAGAACAGGACTGGTCAGAACAGGACTGGTCAAATCCTCCAGGTTTGTTTGATGTTATTAACCATTCACCGACTCATCAAGGGACCGTATCAGCAGGATCGTAGTGTTAATACACACGCACACCCACACACAGTTGAACCCCTCCCCCACTAACACATTCCTGCCCCCCCCCATCACCATGGCTCAGCACACTGTGTTAGAATGTGCTGTTAGCTTATGCAAACTCAGTGGAGGATGAAGCTGTAAATATGTCAAGATGGGCCGTCGTGTCGCCGGACTCATTTACCAAAGAAGTCGAACCCCCCGACCCCCCCCCGGTGAGTCATCGCTGAGTAGATGTCGAACAAGAACCTGGAACCCAGATTGAGCCACGTCCTGGCATCAGATGAACTGAACTGTGGGTCCAGATTCTGAGCTGATCCTCACGGCTCCATCGTTGAATCACTACGACCAGCCTGCACTGGCAGACAGAAATAAGGAGGTACGAGGACGTAGCCGAGAGGGAGAAACAGCTCCGGCAGAGAAAGGAATCTGTTCGACTTCTGTTGCTTCACTTTTCCACACAATTAGGATTTGTTCACATTTGCTTCTTCACTGAATGCATTCAAACGTCGATTGTTCCCTGAAGAGACGCTTTCGGCTCAGGGTAATGTTTTTCATGCCCCATAAATATGCATTATTTGCTCCCAGGGGGGACAGAACAATTTCAGAGCAAATAACAGGAGTGAGGAGTGGGGTCTCAAGCAGGTGGTCAAGCAGTCGGTGTGAAAACAGAAAGCATTGCCAGTGCCAGACAGAATAGTCAGCTGCTGCTTCTCCATAGCCACAGGAGCCAGCTGAGGTGGACAGAACGTCTGGTCAGGACGTCTCCCTGGAGATTTGGTTTAGGTCCACGTGGAAGGAGACCCCGAGGCGGGCTCTCTGGATCGACGAGGCCGTCCTGGGTACGCCTCAGGATCCCCCCAGAGACAGGTGTCCGGACTTCACTGGATGCTGACCCCGCGGCCTGGACGCAGGGCAGAGAAACAGCCTGACGATGACGACGATGATGAAAATTTGACAGTGTCTGTTTCTGTTGCCCAACTTTTCTGACTGTACTATAGATTTTTTTTTCCACTGAGCAGATGCTGCCACTTGACCCAAAGAACCAGTGTAAGACCTTCCAAGTCAAGAGCCGCAAATTCAGCTGCACATCAGTGCCGTGTCGGCCGCGGGGGCAGAGGGGGGGGGGGGGCAGTACATCAGTCAGCCTGAGGCAGTTTAATGTTCTCTTTAAAAGGGATGTTATGTTTTAGGAAGAAATCACTCAAAGTGAAGAAATCCTCGAGGAAGTTGAAGGAGTTCTCAGATGACTCGACCTCAGGAGGACCACACGTAAACACGTCCACCGCACACCCACCATCCAACACCGTGACAGCTGCTCAGTGATTGACGTGACATGCAGGGCAGTAGATTCTTATTCAGCACTGAGACGAGGTGGAAAGGTGACCTGTGCCGTAGGTGTAGCGTCTCCGCCCACCGCTGCGCACAGAAAATGAAAAAAAAATGTCATCACAGAGCGGGTTATAAATACAGGACGCCGACATCAAATGATCACGACGAGCACATTGATCATGTGTCTATCAAGACTCGGAAGCTAACGCTGGACGAATGCTCTGGGCCTTTGTCCCGGCTGCTCCTCCGTCGACCATCAGTCCAACTTCAAATGACAACTTTGTGACAAACAACAACTAACCCGCTCCCTCTGTGCTGCGTCTCTGACACCTGTGTGAGTTATCACAGCGGCTGGGCCTCCACCCCTGCACAGAGAGGCAGCATGGCACCAAAACTGGCACGGTTGCTACGGCAACCAGAGCTTAGGAGGCTGAAAACAGTCGTTACACAAAAATAGATTCTATTTTGGCCAAACGATTAATTTTAACATTCACGCCTGAGCGGAGGCTAAAATTAAACACAAAAATGATGATTCTATAATCACTTAAAGAAATTAAAGATGTTTTTTATGAACTCACATTGATTTAACAGGCCTGGCAGCTCTTCTTTTTAATTAGTCTGCCTCAGATGAAGGCGTCGTGATCTTTCGCTCCACATATGCCGCCCACCTCTAAACTCTCTGTTTGTTACCAAAACAGCAGCCTTTTTGTTTGTTTGTTTGTTTTGCCACTGCCTATATCTGAAACCTAAAACTTCTGAAGACTAAGATATTTTAAGTTGTACCTTTTCTTCACAGCAGTAGCGCCATCAACTGGCCTCAAAGAAAAATCTATTTACTTTATTGTCCAGGAAATACTCTGTCGTTTAAACAAGATGAAAGAAAAGCTAATTTTAATGGTAATCAATTTAATTCTATCAGTATTTGTCCATAAGAAACTCGGATCAGCACCAGGGACAGCTCCTGTATTTCCACAGCAAGTCACAGTAGTAAACCATGGTTTTACCCTTCACTCTGATAAATAAATTACTAAGGTTGGTTTACTGGGTTACACTGTGGTAATTTTTTTTTTTTTTATTGTTGTGGTGTAAGTTTTTTTTTCTTCTTCTTCAGTCAATTAATGCAGCGAGGTTTCTATCCTGAGCCATCCACGATCCAAACTTCAACTTCATCCATTCATTTATTGCCATTAATAAATAACTGCCTGATGAAAAATGAATAACCCT